GAATATAAGCCCCCCGAATTAATATAAGCCCAGTAATCGCTGCTTAATACATGTTTATTCTCCTGTTTATGACTGACTTGTTTATGTCTGACTTGTTTATTACTAACACAAAAGATCGTCCATGTATAAGCCCCCCGTATACGTATATAAGCCCCCCCCCCCTTGTATAAGCCCATCAAAAATCGCTTACGAAAGTATATAAGCCCAGGGCTTATAGTCGGAGGTTTACGGTACGCCCTCTGGCAGGAATCGATCCTGCGACTCCGGTGCAGTGCTCAAACCAACTAAGCTACAGAGAGACAGTTGTCGAGCTCTTGCTAATATTGGGGACACTTTTTAATCTTGATTGATAAGTGCAAGAATACGGACTGTACAAGATGTAACGATTAACTTGATATGCGACTAACAAATTTCCTTCCTTGCTAATTAGAGGTTCTTATTTTTCAACATACATAGACGAACTGCATGATAAGTGTGTAATCGAGAACAGTTGATAAGGTTGTTAGGAGGGCAGAGCCCCCCTTTGCCCCCTAGCTATGCTACTGCCTGCCTGTGCCAGAATAATATCCCATTGTCATTTTAGAGCAGTAATAGGAAAGGAACAATCTTGGTGAAAAATTAGAACATGATACTAATTTGCGTCAACAACACATAAATCACGATTTTTTCTGTGTTGGTGTAATGTACTCAGGTGAATATGATGCTTGTGATGTTACTCTGAGCATATATCCACACCGGACAAGCTTGAAAAATATGCCTGGCCACGGTGGGAATCGAACCTACGACCTTTGGAATACTAGTCCAATGCTCTGCCAACTGAGCTACGCAGTCAGGTCGGTTCGAGTATGTGATATTTCGATATCAATGTAATCTAGTAATCATGATTTGTTCTGTGTTGGTGTAATACATACTCGAACCGACCTGACCGCGTAGTTCAGTCAGTGGCAGAGCATTGGGCTAGTATTCCAAAGGTCGTAGGTTCGATTCCCACCGTGGACAGGCATATTTTTCAAGCTTGCCCGGTGTGGATATACACTCAGAGTAACATCACAAGCATAACACATAAATCCTTGGGGTCCCCCATTCTGAGACATATTCTAAAGAAAATCATAACCATGAAAAAAGCAAATTAAGTGGCAGAGTTTTCTAGATCAAATAGAACATAGTATAGAAAACGTCTATGTATCTTGACATATTTAACTCACTATTTCAGCAGCTAAAACTTTATACTCTACACATCAGAATTACGGAATGTCTAGTTTCGTAATTGTGAAGTGTATAATAAATATTAATAATATAATAATTTGTTCGATAGTTAATACTCTTGTCCTCATTCATGGGTGTTGTTTTGTATTCTTGTCTTTCTTACATATTAAAACATTTCTTTTTTTGTGACCCTCTCTGGCTGGCTGAATATTTTTCATGACCCTCCCTTTTCAAGAGCTCGAAAACTTTTGATCCTCCCCTATTTCTAACATCCCCTCCCACCTGCTAATTTCTGCAAGTCCCTAACTACAAATATTTTACACATTCTATATTATTCATGCAAATCAAGGTTCTATCGCGACGGCAATGTAAACAGTATGGTTTCTTACGTACTGTCGAGTGCCTAGAGCGGAATGGAGCATAAATTGTCCAAAACCAAGACCTTCATTGCTTTCAACTGACGGTTTATTCAATGCTTTTTCTCCATTTGGAATCACGCATTCTTCGAAACTTTCTATTTGTGATTCATCATTTTGTTGATCAACGACAATAAATGTGACTGGTTTGTCAAAAGGCCATTTCAAACTGTCGTCATAATCGCTTTGCATCAGATAGAAGTAAACGCCCATATAACCCGTATACCCGCAAGGACCTTCGTTCAAATAGACACTGATTTTCATTCTATACCCATGGCTCGTGTAAAATGGATCACTCTCAATTGCCCCATAACTGTTGCTGCATATTGCCTCATTTAGCTTTCTTGTGAAGTTTGGTATCTCCAAGGCTACGATTACGGCTGGGTTAAGTGTAAGTTGTTCCAGTGTTTGCAAAAAAGTAGGAGGCAAGTTTGTATATATTCCCAAAAACGCGATCTGTTCTCTAAGCTGCCTTACCTCTTGGTCATGCTAAAATACACAAGCAGAAGGTTCTGGTACACTTAATCAGTTGTAAATTACTTTAGAACAATTTAGGGAAGCCTCACATATCGATTTTTTCCACGAGAAACGTCATATGGGGGGGGGGGGGGTCGCCGCTGTGACGTTTCTCTGCAAACATAATGGAAAAATTCGATAGTTTTTTCGAAAGCCTTAACTTTCGGAATCATCTTTGCAGAATATAAAAAAAGAAAACTAGATACAAATACCAGTCTATACATTCGTAATACCATACCTGTTCTATACGTATGCATTTATAATATTACGCCTTCCTTGCATTGAAAACACTCAATTCTCAAATTTCAAGAAAAACGCAAGGAAAATTATCAATATTTGATGCAAAAAAAGTTGTTTTGAAAAACGTTGGAAATTTTGAAGTTCATATATATTAATAAAAAAAGTTATGTCAGCAGAAGAGGACATATTCCTCGCGGAAGCATCGCCAATAGCCGACCGTAGAAAATAGTAGAAAATTACCTTATGTGTACTATAAGAACAAAATATCGATAACTATGTGTGACGTTTCTAGG